CCCCCTCTGCACAAAAAAAAAAAGGCCCTGAAAGAAGCAAACATACGACGAACGCTAATGCCTACCTTTTAGATATTCAACTAGTCATAACCTCATGTGTGAAAACAATACTAATTCCAATCATGTCCATGAAAACGATTCAATTATCAAATTGCACATTGTTGATGACACACCTGGGAGTGTCACAGTTCGCACATGTTTTTTGATAGCAAAGCGTCTACAAGACGAAGATTACGAGTTAATAATAAAGTTTTCATGTGTTGGTGCAGTTCTATGCACGTGAAAGACCGATGATATATATATATGGGATTTGTAGAAGCATTTTCAGTAATATACCTTTTATTTTGGATACACAATTTTCGAGAATGTGCCATAAGTAACAACCAGCTTGGCAGTGTTTCAAAGTCTTCAGGTGAGTGCGTTTGATTTTTGATATCGGTTGCTGATCAGGGTGCGCGGTGCATTGAATCACAAGTCTGTCAGTTGTAGAATGAAAACCAGTTTGACAGGTTGCTGATCAGGGTGCGCGGTGCATTGAATCACAAGTCTGTCAGTTGTAGGACCCATACTCGTTACCAAGAAAGGACAAACTAAAATATCGGCACTTCCTTGGAGACGATAGTCAGAAGAGATGGGGAAGATCTCAAAACACGAAAAAAATATTTGAAAAAAAAAATTCTTTTTAATCTCAATTGAAAGCTTTTTAACTTGCAATGTCAGCTTTAAAATTCCTATGATAATCAGGTATATGACTTCATAGTTAATGCTCTAAACATAACAATTCAAAATAAAGACAAACAGGAGAAACTTATTTTGATTATTTGTTATTCAGGCAAATTTTGCAAAATTTAGAATTATACTTGATAATGATCACACACTTGTTTAATTATAAGCATGCATGCAATGCAAACATTGAACTGGAACTGGTATGGTCATATACAGTAAATTTTCATCATTATATCCAACATAAATTACATACTGTAGTTTCCATTACATGTATGAATTTATAGATGCTTCTATAATCTCTGGCTGTTTAAGTTCAATTTCCTTTTTTCAATTTCAAAACAGTGTTAAAAGAAAGATTGGAAACATTTTATGTACTTAACTTTCTCTTATATATTTCCATTCTTGATCAAATCTTTTTTAGAGAGAAAAAAACCATGACACAACATTATTCATAAGTTTTGTAGAAATGTTTTCCATGCACATCCACATAATGCCTGAATCTGTTGCCATGGTGTTTCATGTTACCGGCTTACCTCCCCTTCCTGGCCAATCTCTTGCTGTCAGTTGGGGACATAAATCTGATGGTTCCATCTCTGGGAGCAGAATCACAGGATTCGTTTGACAGGGAACTTGATCTTCTACATCTGTCAACTGATAAATAAAGAAATGTGCCATCAATGGAACATCTGTGTAATGGTCACGATTACAATTTGTGTTCCAATCGACAAGAAAGATGTTTTGAACTTTAACCCCTAACATCATTGGATTCAAGCTATAAGTACCATGTGTCATAGAGGTATAAGATCCAATTGGAATCGAACTTTATTTTTTTAACCTAGAGCCATTTACAGACTTCCAAAAACCTTTGGTAGCTGAATTTTTGTTGAAAGGGTATACACCATATCAGATTACTGTGAAAAGTTAATGCTTTCATTTTAAACAGGTAATTAGTAATATAAATGTGAGGTTTTTTTACACTTTTTATTTTGAATTTCATTCCCATGAAATGCCGGTAATCCCTTTATTGCTATTAATTTGAGGAAAACGAAAACTTTTGTTTGATAGAATCATATGAGTTTTAAAATTAAACAAAGATAAGGTAAAAAGTTATGACATAGCCCCACACATACGCTGTCTGTCCGATTGCATCAGTCCCAGTGAGTCATTCAGGGGCTGCATCAGATTCCTCCTGGCCAGTCTCTCGTGCTCCCCAGAATAGGATCCTGACCGTGCAAATCTAACAAACAAAGAACAGAGGTCTGACATGTGCTATATTGATCACGTGTATATAAAAATTGAATCTTGCTTTTGTTGATTTCATGGGGTGATGAAATAAGTTAGTCTTAAGACAAATTTAATGAAGCGTATAGCAGTTTATTTTAATTTGTCTTTTGATCAACACTCGATTCATGATCCAATGAGATCGACCACAGCAATATTAAATTGTTATATATACATAAACTTTTGTTTTAATAACTGGAACTTGTGTGTTCACAGTACCATTAGGCACTTAGATATTAGTGTTAGAAATTGCTTCGAAATTTGTAATCCATCATGATCATCACTACATGTATTTCCCAAACAATCGATGATTGATCATTGATCAATTATAAAATGGAAAGAAATAGAGAATTCGAAGCATTCACCAAAATGGGTAGAATGTGGTGGATCCTTTTTGAATACTCAAAGCTATAGGTAGAGATGTGGTTTGAATGCAGTTTAAGGTAAAACTTATGAATGACACTTTTTGTTTAATACATTTTTAGGTCTGCTCATAATTCCAATATTTATACATAAATATATCTCTTTAAAATTATTATTTGAAAGTTTTCATGTTTTAGTCAAACCATGATCGATCAAAAAATAACATGATTGATTAATGAAAGTTAGAGGTAAAATGACTGATCAACGATCAAAGTGAATTATAGGAACATTACGTAGACAGTGCTGCAATGGGGACAGCAGATAGTTGGTTTCTAATTATTAAAATGTCCCTGAAACAGAAGGCAGTGAATAAAGGAACCCCTGATTCTCCAGGGACTGGGGCACATCATTAAAGAGTGTGATAATTATAAACAGCAGGTACATTATTGATTTCTCCAATGGCCGTATTCAGAAGATATAGAAAAAAAAACTGGATTCTGTAGGGGCCCTGACATTAATCGTCTTTAGTGAGATCATTGATTGTGGGATATATACAACATGTTTATTCTTTTCTGAAACCTGCAAAGCCTTTAGGTGCATGATGTCAAAATATCTAGAATTCTCCATAAATAAATGAGTGTGGTATATATGATATGTAAACTTGGTATACTCTTAAGCGGTCCTCCTTAAAAGCGTCTTCAAGTGTCTTCAAGTGACAACAAGCGTCGCCAGACAAAATACAGAATAAAGTAAGCGACATCAGAAGATATGTTGTTAATATGACTATAATACACCTCTGCACCAAATTTCAATTTGATATTTGATAAAATGATCGAGTTATGATGAATTGAATTTTTACGATCGCGGCGTGGCACATGTGTGTATCAGCATGAAAAGTGTAGAAAGCGTTGCCAGATAATATTGTTACAATTACTCGCTAAAGTAAGCGACATCAGAAGATATGTTATTAGTTGGACTTTTATTGATATATATTCCAAATTTCAGCTCAATATTTGAAAAAATGATCAAATTATGATTAATTTATTATTACGATCGGCTGTGTGGCAAATTTTATCAAATTTCAAATTGAAGTTTGGTACAGAGGTGTATTATAGTCATATTAACAACATATCTTTTGATGTCGCTTACTTTATTCTGTATTTTTACAGCATGTTGTGTCTGTGTCAGGCGACGCTTATTGTCAATTAAAGACGCTTGTCGGTTAAAGATGCTTTTAAGGTGGACCCCTCTTAAGTATACAAAGAAGACACAATCCACGTTACTGAGAACAGGTCAAGTACATTCTGCCGATTATTTACATTATGTTTATAGAGCTCTGTTTAGCCCTAGTAGCTGTATCGACCTATCAACCTTTTGAACTATTTACATGCAATTTTCTTTTGAAAAAACTACACAGAGTTGCATATAAAGAATATTTTAACACTATTTTGATTACAAAACAAATCAAATATAAGTTTTTCATGAAGTACTGATGTAAAAAAAAATCAAATATTTTACATTTATAAAAAATAAAAATAGACCTCTAACTGTATGCTTTTCGTTGTCAACATTACCATATAACCTATACATGTAGTTTCATGATTATTTGATCTATTTTTATTGGGAAAAAAATATTAGTAAAAATAGCTCAATACACATACAGTTATAAATTAAAGGTACATATATAAACTACAATTTTGATTATTGTTTCAGTACTTCGTTTATTAGTTAATAAATATTTTTCATTTGTTGTTTATTGTTGGTTGTTTATTGTTTAAACAATCACGCAGATCAGTCAATCTTTGTTTTCGTACTTCAAACGTGATCCTGCAACATACGCGATGGTTGTTTATTTAACTGAGCAGCTGAGCAGCTGAGTAGATTGGAGTAGATCGGAGTAGCTCTGAGTAGCTCTTTAGGAGAGACTTAACGGTGAGGGAATTCACCAACTTGTCATAAAAATGAGGGTTCCACTATCAAATTTATCAAAAACTCATCACGTCTTCGGCTATGATAGTAGCTATTGAATGACGATGTGAATTATGTTGTTAACTGTTTTTAAATGTATTTTTGTGTTTGTTTACTGAGTATAAACATATGCTATCCCTGTATGAAAATAAAATTATTCATCAATGTAATAATATTAATTGTTTTATTTTTTGTATTCATGATTGAAACGAACGCCACGTATCGATCTAACGAAAAAAAATGATGAGAGAAAATAGAGGTACATGTAAGGGTACTTCAGATACATCATGAAGCGTCATGTGTGTTTTGCAATCTGTCTTTTTCAAATCATATAATGTTGAATAGCAGCTCTAAATATAAAACATTAAATAACAGTACAAACTCATTTTGCGGTACCCTCACGTGTATTTTTTTTTATGTCACTGACATATTAGTTATTCCTGTAGGAACTCTATCTAAATCAGAGATTTATAACGATAGAAACTCTATCGTTATAAATCTCTGATTGAGATAGAGTTCCTATAGGAATTAACATATTAGATATCAAGTTCGTGCTTATATCAAATATACATGGACTGTATCTAAATAAGCAATGTCTTCCATTAGTACCGAAACGACTTTCAGAAGTACCGAAACGACTTTCAGAAGTACCGAAACGACTTTCAGAAGTACCGAAACGACCAGGTACATAAACGACCGAGTACCTAAACGACCTGAATTCCTTTTTGTAGTCAACATTACCATTAACCTTACTGTTTTATGCGACTTTGCTTTAATTTAATGAAATTTGAAATCTGAGAAAATATAGCTCAATACAGCTATAATTTATAGGTGTATATAGCTATATAGGTTTTATAGCTACATAGCTCAATCGGCAGAGTGTACTGGACCTGCTGTATATCGACAATACACAGCTCATCTACAATATTCCTAGTAATACTACCTTTTAGTAGGAGTGACATTTATCATAGACAACGTTGGTTCCGGAGGAACGCTTGGTCCTTCGGAAGGAATAACTTCTATCTGCACAGACACAACGTGCTGGGTACCCGCCGATTGCGTATCGACTGGTACCAAACTTCGAGTCCCATCGACACTATCTTCATCACACAATTCTTCGTCCAAAATCTGTTTTCCTGAGACAGCTGTGTTTACATTTACATTGTTGACTTCTTCGACGCTTTCATCTTTTAGTCGATGGTGTTTTCTATTGAACATTGCATATTTAGTATCTTTGTGTGTTCCATCAAGAGATATATTCGATAGAAAGTTTACAGCGGCTATTTTTCGACGAGATCGACGTTTATGAACTTTCATGTTGGCAGTCGCCATTGCACGATGACAAATCTCGTTTGGAACGAGAATTACTGCGAGATTTTACGAGAGAGGAAGAAAAGACATCTTCCGTTTTGACAGTTTGGGGGAGACTGTCAAAGTGTTGTAGGGAAGTTTATCGACAAAAACCATGCTGATATAGACGTAGAAATCAAGATGAATGCTGATAATATCGAGCCAAATTCAAGTAGCTCTAACCGAGTGGTTAGAGCTAACTTGATGGAAGGCGTAGGGGCACGAGTTGTTCGAGGACCAGACTGGAAATGGGGAAAACAAGATGGTGGGGAGGGGCATGCTGGAACAGTTAGAAATTTTGAGTCGCCAGAAGAGGTTGTGGTAGTTTGGGATAACGGAACAGCTGCTAACTATCGATGTGCAGGAGCCTACGACCTAAGGATATTGGATAGTGCTTCAACAGGTCCTGCAGTTTTGTTTACACAAAACCATATTTTGCCATAGTTGATGTTGTCATTTGTAACTACAGTAGTTACAGTAGATCTAGACTTCATATATAACTCATTTGTGACAGGAACTCTCTTATAAGCGGTGTCAGTTAAGCGTACAAACACTGACATGACAGTATATCCATTGAAGTATTTTAACAGGTTAATAATTGATTGAAAATAGCATATCAATCTTTGACTTTCCAATGCAATGCAAGTCATGTTGCAGTCACCTGTTAAAATTACAAAAGGGGGCAGGGAGATAGTCTGAATAGCTGCCCTCATTACAAAAAATATAGAATAGATGGGATGTAAGATAGTTAAAATCCTCTAAAGGATTGCTTTGTATATTAGAGTACAGGGCTGTTGGGCTATTTGTACTACCCGTTGTTAAAAATAATCAGTTCTAATATATGTGGATTTTTTCCCAATATTTTGTATGTATTCATTTTGAATGATCTTTTAATTCGCTTTCGGTTGACCCATAATTTCAAAACTGTTTGGAGATTGAATGTTAAATAATATCACTCAAATATATAGGCACCCATGTTCTCTAAAACTCATTTTTGTAGGACAAATTGCTGTTCCTAAATGTATTTTATGCTATAACAGAATTTACATTGCGCATATAATGTATATCATAAATCATCGTATTTACATCGTAAATGAAGCTCACTATGAAAGGCCGAAAATAAAAATATTTTTTTTATACTGTAAGTTTGTTGTGGTAAGGTGACCACATTTTAATGAGGCGCAACAAACTTAATATGTATATATGTCTCTAATATTTACATACATAGTAAGTCATTTGCAGAATATTACGATGTGCGGATTAATAAACAGTGGAACCCGCTTATTATGATATTCTATTTGCCAAAGGAAAATATCATAATAACCGATATATCATAATAACCGATATATCATAATAACCGATCAAGCTGTTTTCGATTGTTTTTATGTTGTCTGAACCGAAAGTGAGATGCCCTATATTAATCAGACATAGACTGATGTGGAAACATTGAAAAATATAAATACAAACTGATGAAGTAATAATTAAAATCATTTGTTCATTGTTATTTATATCAGCGTGTTAGATTTCATTTTGCCGTCGAAATGTTCAATATTTAAATTCTACTTTCACTTTCAATTAACTTCGAGCATATTCCTAAGAACTATCTTTATACTACATCCTACACCTTGTAGCTAATGATATCGTAATGTAACAGTCAAAAGGATAAAAGAAGTGATATAAATAACAATGATTTACCTATTTCGCAGCGAGAAGTTGCATTACATTTTGTTCCATAAGCGTGAAACATTTTGCCGCACTATGTCAATTATGATCAGGTGACAATCACATGCCTCACAAGTCGTGCGACGAGATCAACTTGCAAAGGAACAATAACAATTAAAAACACACAAAAAACCCTTTTTTAACAATAATAAAATATGATATTTAATGAAAATAGTGTAAATTGTAAGTAAAGCAGCCATTGTCAGTTGTTTACGACAATAACGTTCACTTGGGATCGATTTCTGGCATCATACTGTCCGGGCGGTATGTCCCGATTTTGACACTTTTTCAACGGAAACACAGGGAGATAAACTTCTAATGCAATCTTCCTTCTGAAGTAATATTTTCATTGAAATTGGCATGATTTTCTCACATGAAATATTTGTTAAAGGCATGCTCGTTTTCTTTGGGAATTTGGGTAAGAAAATGTCGGTAGGCCTAATTATTTCAATTTTAGATGGCAATTAACTGCACCACATGTTTTGTTCAGACTAAAATGTATGACCAGCAAGTGATGGTCATTCTATTATTTTCCGCTGACTTGGGTGAAGCAGGGTGTTAAAAATTACCTTACGTGGACAAGTGATCACCGCGGCGATGTATAGTTAGCCGGACCAATTGTTTAATTGTCCAGGTGTTTCACACGGACAACTTACCTGAGTTTTTACCTTACAAAATCCATTCACGTCAGAAAAAAATATCATAATAAGCGGGGTCCCACCTTTGACCATATCAAAATCATTTTAAAAAAATGCTTAGTTAAAGAAGGAAAAAATCGGTACATTAGAAAAATATCATAATAACCGATATATCATCATAACCGATATCATAATAAGTGGGTTCCACTGTATTGACAATGACCGTTTCAAATCTTTAGTAAACAGCTTTCTGTGAGAGGGACTGTTTTGTCGACAACTTTCGTTTTTTGTTAGCTCAGGGTCAGATGTTGTGAAATCATGTATGTCAGTACAATATTTTTTATCGTGTGGCAGAATCTATTTAAGTATTAACTAGCTGTTAGTTCTCTACTATAGTGATTCAATGAATATAATCAATAACAATTATTGGTTTCACTACATATGTTAAATACAAGCATAAAATTAATGATTACTTCTTTTGTCTGACCTCACATTACACCATATTCTGTCATTTGACAAACTGACTGGCTTTCAGAAATGCTTAAATTTCGAAGAAATCCATCATGTTGTGACAAAGTATTCACTCGAGTTATGAAATAGTCATTGTCAATGTTTTTATCAGCACTGTGGCAGAGGTTAATGAATAGTCTTGCCATTCATGTATGGATAGTTAAAACGGACATATTTTCCTTCATACAAGACAACGTTCGTGGTTGGAATATGAAATTAAATGTCTATTAACATTTTTGTTTTAAATTGCAGGTATCAAACATGATGGTACAATGTGCGATACGTGTAGACAGCAGCCGATATTTGGCATCAGATGGAAGTGTGCAGAGTGTTCTAACTACGACGTATGCTCTGTCTGCTATCATGGAGACAAACACAACCTTCGTCACAGATTTTACAGAATTACCGTTCCAGGATCTGATAGGTAATTACAAAATATTGTACCAGTGCTATTAAATGAAACAAGGTTACATCCAGGTTATTTTATTCATATTTATAAATACATATTTTGAGAGAAAACTTATTGTGCTTAGGTTATGATATAGTGTAAATATCAGATACTTTGATACAAATCTTACAATATCCTTGTGACATACATTTTTTTGTAGCAGTGTTCTAATCAAAAGCAGGTTGTCTGCAAAAGTAGCCTGCTATTATCAACTTTGAACCTGTGTAACAGCCTATCCCTTCCCCCCTGTAGCCCCACCGAAAATCTCTCAATGGAAAGAATATGCTAGCCTATTTCTTCCCTAGGGAAAGAATTGGCTAGATAATATTTTCCCCTGGTGGAACTTTCAAGAAATGACTACTGCACAGGCTATATTTGTAGAGTATGTATAGCTATAGGTCAACATTATAGCAAGCGAACATTCAACTGGCTATTCTTTACAAGTCACGGCTATTTCAACACTTAGTGAGAACACTGGATAGTTGTGTACCATAATATATGATATCGCTAAATTAAACCTGTATAGAAATTTTCAGTCTTCAATAAAATATATTGTTGATGAACATAATCAAATAAAGTAAATAAAAATAAAACAATCCATGTAATAAAATAAAAGCAGGGCTTTCTGTTGACTTTTGACGGATAGCAATTTTATAAGTCAAATCACCCTTTCTCTGAAACTCATTAACCCCTGAAATTTCATAATGAACTATTCCAACCTTTGAATTAGAAGAGTTCAAATGTGTCTTCATGGGTGAATGAGTTAAGGGTCAAAACACATGTCAAATAGACATGTCCTTTCAAACCAAACAGTTAATCCTTATGTTGGGGAGAGCTGCAACTCCTGATGCATGAATTCAATAAAAGTATCTTCTTCATTTTATATATCATGAAACAGTATTTATATCTAAAATTCACCATTTCCTCTAGAAGATAATGAATTATAATATTAAAGGGTTGCCGTGGAGCCACGAAGAAAAAGTAAAAAGATAACAGCGAGAGGAATTTACCCTGGAGCTAGAGTAGTGAGAGGTGTTGACTGGCAATGGGAGGACCAGGATGGGGGTAATGGTCGACGAGGAAAAGTCACTGAGATACAGGTATTGATGATATGAGAATCTGCTGTAATTGTATAATGTCAAGATTCTAAAGTGTGTGTCATATTATCAGTGATTTATTTTGCTCAGTTTTACAGCCAAACACAGGCTGTTTCCCCTAACTAAAAAGTGCCTTATTTTCCCAAAATGACCAAAACATGAGGAATCTTTTCCCAATTTCAACAAAATAATGCTCTATTTACCCAATTCATAAAGGAACAGGCTGTTGTAAAATTCACTGATAATCCAATTCATTGAACAGCATTGCTTTCTGTTTTTGATCATTTGCTAAGATAAACTTTATTCTAGAGGAAAAAATGTGGCCTCTATTTTTCTTTATAAAGAAATATGATGGATAAAGTTTTTAAGGTACATTATGAAACAGTATTGATTGAAAAAAAGGGTAAACTTCTAAATCTTTAAACATTCCTTTTCGACTATCAAATAGCGCACTGAAGTTGCACCCAATTTTTCTGACAAAAAAAGGTTAGAAGTTAATAGTTGCTGTATCTTAAATGTCATAGCTACTAAGCCTTGCCTTGTTTGGTCTATTACACAGGATTGGAGTGCTGCCAGCCCAAGAAGTGCTGCATATGTGCTGTGGGATAATGCTTCAAAAAACCTTTACAGAGTGGCTTTTGAAGGCATGGTAAGCTACATGCATTTAGTGTAACAGTGTCTGTCCAGTACTACATTTATTTGCTTGGGTAATAAATATGTAAGGTAGTTTCTCTTTCAAAAGTGTTTGTCTTCATATTCAACTTTTCAATGGTTATCAGAATCCCTGTTTTCTCATCTTTAATTCGTAAAATTAGATAAAGGTTCATAACCAGTGATATATTAATGTGTTTTGTTTCATTGACTAGTAAAATATGAATGCTTGTTACCTTCATCAAATACAGTGTTTATACCCGAAGGTGTAAAATATGTATAGATAAAAGTAATATTTATAAGTCAATTCCACTATACGCTGTAAGCATTTGTTCACTTATGTGTTATATGTATACAAATTTCTTTCCCTCTTTCCCTGTAAGGGGGCTCATAGACTTTCACTTCATTTGCTCATTTGATGAAGGTGACAGGTACATTTAGTGATATTAAAACAATAGCTCATCCTCAGATGTGACTGAAATTACGGAGTATTAAGTTGAGTAACACTGTTGAGTATTTTTGATGAAATTAAAGGATAAGTGACATGTGTGTTATACAGGCTGATTTAAAAGTGGTGAATGATGCCAAAGGCGGGTCCTTCTACAGAGATCATCTCCCATTGCTGGGTAAGTTAGTCTGCTAAAAACAGGTTGTATACTTCTAATCAGTACATGACTTATTTGATATTTATCCAGGAAGATTTGAATGATGAGCACAGGTTCACCTGGTAACTATTTTAAATGTTTAGCTATAAATCATGTCATCTTATTGCCTGGTAGAGTTAACCCCGGTTATACTGCCACCGTTTTCCACAGCAATATTGACATGTATTATGAAGGGGTTTTGGCAATACATTCTGGGAAAATCAAAAAAGAAGGAAAATGTGACCTTGAAATGTATTAATGGTGAGCAAGCTGACAAAGAATATGAAGAGCATTGTGTAGATGATATGCTGTAATTTAAAACAAACATTTGTGTTTGGATGTACAGGGGAGCAGGGGCCAGGCTCCAGGGCGGGACCAGGTGGGCTGGCTATCGGTGACCAGGTCAATGTCGACCTTGACCTTGAGATTGTCCAGTCCTTACAGCATGGCCACGGGGGATGGACAGATGGCATGTTTGAGGTACGGTCACAAACAAATAACTTTATTTATGTAACACACAGTTAAACTGTGACATCACACTAGCAGCAAGTGATAGACATCAACACTTTCAAAAATGTTACAAAAACGATATGGTAATTTGTCTCCATAAAAGCTTGTTTTATGCAATATCAAGTCTCTACAAATGATAAATGTAATGGTCACTACTTTTTGTTAACTGTAGGGAGGACTACAATTATAACTTAAAAGATAATGGATAATTATATGGTTGTATGTAAAATATTTAGCTTTTTTTACGCCAATAAGGAAAAAAATGAGAACAAAATACTTGTTTGTTAAAATATTAGCGCTTGGGATATATATACGAATAACCATTAATCAAAACTGATCATTAGTATGTTTCCCTCCTTTGTGTTGCAGTGCCTGGGTACGACAGGAACTGTGGTGGGAATAGACGAAGACCATGACATTGTGGTGTCCTACCCTAGTGGTAACAGGTAGCTACCTTTATTGGAGTGACACCTGTACATGTTTTACCTCATTCTGTTGTTGCTTAAGATCACAGTTCGATCAAAGAGTTAATGTTTTCCAATGTACAACTTTGGAAATTGAATGCGTGTTAGGAATTTGTCAATGTATGATACTCTGATCATTATGTCTAATTCAAAGTTATAAGATATGAAAAGTAAAAGTCCAAATGTGTTTTTATGGTTAAATTGACATACAATGGTTTTAATATTGAAAAAAAATATTACTTGTTTTACTAACATTATTTTGTTTATGTTAAAACTTTCTATGTGTTAGCTTTTGCAATACTTATAAATATAAAAAGCTGCCTCCTTTTTAAAGCAAAATGCTGTTACCATCCACTACCTTCTTAATTTTACTGTAGGTGGACTTTCAACCCAGCAGTTCTAACCAAGGTTAACACTCCAAGCAGTGCTACAGCTTCTGCGAACGAAAACACTACTCCAACTCCACCCACACAACAGTTTGCTGTTGGAGACCTTGTCCAAATCTGTAGTGATGCTGAGAAAATAAAACTGCTTCAGCGCGGCCATGGAGAGTGGGCCGAGGCCATGATTCCTGTAAGTAGTGCAAGCTCCTTATTTGTCTAGAAGCTGCATTCCCGTCAAAAGAGGTTTATGTATCATCATAATAGTCATATCTAGAATTGAGATGATTGGGTCAGATTTAAATAAACTCCCTATGTCCTATTATCTTGACTGGGCTAATTGCAGGGCTAGTTTGCAAGGATTTTGTCAAAACATCAACTATTACATGTAAAACACATGACGTACAAATGATTGGTAAGAATGTAGACCATTTTGCACATTAATCTTTAAGATATATCATTGAGGGATGAGTTCAAGCACAACATTTCAAGATTTTCCAGATTGCATAATAACACTAGATGTTCAGCTAATGTTCTATTCAAAGCATTCCCAATCAATGTACATATGTGAATGCGAGGGGATTTGTATCACTTACGATGCCTTGCTAATTTTGCATTACAAAACCCATTAACATGTTATTTGTGTTGACAGACCCTGGGTAAGATTGGCCGGGTACAGCAGATTTACCATGATAATGACCTGAAGGTTGAAGTGTGTGGTACATCCTGGACATACAACCCTTCTGCTGTCACTAAAGTTGCATCGTCAGATGGGGCTGCCATCGGCAACTCATCCGGAGGTAAATTGGACTAAATGTAGAAATTATCTCATGAGTGAACATGTCATTTCACATTTCAGTTGATTAATTGTAGATTTTAAGCTTGGACATGGGCTGAAAAATTTGTAGATTTTAAGCTTGGACATGGGCTGAAAAATTGAGAGAAAAAATGGAAATATGTTGTAACACCTTAACAGACCAGGAGGAACTTTTTCTGATACAACAACAAATTATTACACTTCATGCACTCCAAAAAAAAATGTAGTTGCTTTTGTTTAATTTGGTGCCAAACAGCTTACTTGACTCCTTACTGACATTTTACAGTTACTTTCATAACAGATCGTAATGTACACATTTAGTTTCAATCTTGCTCTCGTCACCAGCTTGAAAACACGATATGTACATGTATATTACTATATCATAGGCATTTATAGAGATAATGCCAGAAAAATGTGAATGGCACATATGCATTGGAAAAATGAAAATAGCTAAAATTTGATGTCATGGTAATTACCTATAAAAGATTGATATTTTGTATACTACTTTACATGAACATTTGTATGCATGCATGAAAAGATGTCTGCAAAATTTAGAAGAGCAAAAGGACAAAAGTCAAAGGCACAGATGCATTAAAACCACAAAATGATTTATGTGAGACAATTTTTCTTTGAGCATATTTACTCATTCACCCCTGAAAACACATTTGAACTCTTCCAATTTAATGATTGGAATAGTTCATTATGAAATTTCAGGGGTAAATGAGTTATTATACAATAGATGAACAAGTTTTAGCGTTCGGATTTCTTGACAGATGTTTGAATACTGGAATGGCTAATTATCTTAGAAGTAGCAGGTAAAGCATGTATATAACAATATTGTAAGCATTCGGGCAACGTATCCTTTGACGTAATTAAGAAGTCACTGTTCAAGTTTCATTTTAGACAAGGAGGTAAGAATCATCTTAAACATCAGGTCAAAATTAAGATCAATTTGTCTCGGGGTCATTCAAATGATAGGCCATTTAACTTAAAGGGGAAGCAAATTAGATTTGAGTACATATTATAGATGTTTGTTCAATGACGATTCTAGCCATTGTTGTATGTTGCAGAACGCCTAAGTGCTCTCCTGAAAAAGTTGTTTGAGACGCATGTTTCTGGAGATGTAAACGAGGAGCTAGTGAAGGCAGCAGCAAATGGAGATGGGACCAAAGTTGATGAACTCTTACAGCGACCCGAGGCTGATGTTTGTACATCTATTACTCCTAGCACTAAAACTTCGACTGATGTTGTACATCTATTAATCCTAGCACTAAAACTTAGACTGATGTTTGTACATCTATTACAACTAGCACTAAAACTTAGACTGATGTTTGTACATCTATTAATCCTAGCACTAAAACTTAGACTGATGTTGTACATCTATTACTACTAGCACTAAAACTTAGACTGATGTTTGTACATCTATTACTCCTAGCACGCAAACTTTTACTCCTAGCACTAAAACTTAGACTGATGTTTGTACATCTATTAATCCTAGCTCTAAAACTTAGACTGATGTTGTACATCTATTACTACTACCACTAAAACTTAGACTTATGTTTGTACATCTATTACTCCTAGCACACAATCTTTAGACTGATGTTGTACATCTATTACTCCTAGCACAAAAACTTTAGACTGATGTTGTACATCTATTACAACTAGCACTAAAACTTAGACTGATGTTTGTACATCTATTACGACTAGCACTAAAACTTAGACTGATGTTTGTACATCTATTAATCCTAGCTCTAAAACTTAGACTGATGTTGTACATCTATTACTTCTAGCACTAAAACTTAGACTGATGTTTGTACATCTATTAATCCTAGCTCTAAAACTTAGACTGATGTTGTACATCTATTACTACTAGCACTACAACTTAGACTGATGTTTGTACATCTATTACTCCTGGCACTAAAACTTAGAGTGATGTTTGTACGGCTATTACTCCTAGCACTAAAACTTTGACTGATGTTTGTACATCTATTACTCCTAGCACTAAAACTTAGACGGATGTTGTACATCTATTACTACTACCACTAAAACTTAGACTTATGTTTGTACATCTATTACTCCTAGCACACAATCTTTAGACTGATGTTGTACATCTATTACTCCTAGCACAAAAACTTTAGACTGATGTTGTACATCTATTACAACTAGCACTAAAACTTCGACTGATGTTTGTACATCTATTACTCCTAGCACGCAAACTTTTACTCCTAGCACTAAAACTTAGACTGATGTTTGAACATCTATTACTCCTAGCACACAAACTTTTACTCCTAGCACACAAACTTTAGACTGATGTTGTACATCTAATACTCCTAGCACACAAACTTTAGACTGATGTTGTACATCTATTACTCCTAGCACTAAAACTTATACTGATGTTTGTACATCTATTACTCCTAGCACTTAAACTTAGACTGATGTTGTACATCTATTACTACTACCACTAAAACTTAGGCTGATGTTTGTACATCTATTACTCCTAGCACTAAAACTTAGACGGATGTTGTACATCTATTACTACTACCACTAAAACTTAGGCTGATGTTTGTACATCTATTACTCCTAGCACTAAAACTTTTACTCCTAGCACACAAACTTTAGACTGATGTTGTACATCTATTACAACTAGCACTAAAACTTCGACTGATGTTTGTACATCTATTACTACTAGCACTAAAACTTAAACTGATGTTTATACATCTATTACTCCTAGCACTAAAACTTTTACTCCTAGCACACACACTTTAGACTGATGTTGTACATCTATTACTCCTAGCACTAAAACTTAGACGGATGTTGTACATCTATTACTACTACCACTAAAACTTAGACTTATGTTTGTACATCTATTACTCCTAGCACACAATCTTTAGACTGATGTTGTACATCTATTACTCCTAGCACTAAAACTTATACTGATGTTTGTACATCTATTACTCCTAGCACTAAAACTTAGACTGATGTTGTACATCTATTACTACTACCACTAAAACTTAGACTGATGTTTGTACATCTATTCCTAGCACACAAACTTTAGACTGATGTTGTACATCTATTCCTACTACCACTAAAACTTAGACTGATGTTTGTAAATCTATTACTCCTAGCACACAAACTTTAGACTGATGTTGTACATCTATTACTACTAGCACTAAAACTTAGACTGATGTTTGTACATATATTTTACTGCAAGTACACATTAAACACAGTGACTAAACACAATGGTGTAACAAACGCTGAATAACACTTTTTTTAAATATAAACTAAAGATTGTTGTTTATAACACTCACAGTGACTAAATTAAGAATTTGTATATGCATTGTAAGCACAAATTTATGATTTTTAATCTTTTGATTTCATGTTATCTTTTACTACTATCACAAAATACATGAAATAGTAATTGTAGTGACCAAAGACCGAGGTTTGTACCTATATTTCTGATAGTACACAAAATAATGCTTTTACAGAGACCTGATTTCATACAGCAAATTTCTGTTTGATATTGAAAATTGTGTTACTGTATGTATTGGTCAGAAATCTTGTCCATTTTTCACAGACATATCATTAAAAAAGAAATTACTAACAGATTATTGACATTTTCACTTACAGATTATTTACATCAATGTATTAGGTTTCTATGTGATCGTGACTTAACTAAACATTAAAATGACCCTATATTTGATGCAGGCCAATGGAATGTTTGCTGGTCATACTGCCCTCCAGGCAGCCTCACAAAATGGACATTCTGATGTCATACGGGTACTGATGAAACATGATGTGGACTTTGAAATAGAGGTAAGTTTTAAGTTCTGATAAGAAACTTTAACTAATGAACAACAGGCTTATGATTTTGATAATGAAGGCATTGTAAAGATGTCTTGTTTTAAGATTTAAATAAAAATCCCATCACACATGTTGAATGATATCCATCTTTCAGGGGTTTAGTTGACCCACGACATTTAGTAATTTCAGAAGTCGGATAGAATTTTCTTTACATCTAGGTGAGACAAAATATATATACAGTGGAATCTGTATTAAGCGACCACACAGGGGAAATTCAAAAACTGGTCGTTTAATAAGCTTTGTACAGAATACACAACCGACTAGAACCAACGACTCCTTATTCAGACAACTGTAAAAAGACCACCACCCCAAGCGCACATTTACACATGTATGTACAGGTAGTTTAAAATAACATTGTTCAACAGATCAGGTGAATAACTAAACAATAGTCGAGTGATAATTATGACAGTAAACAAACAACTAAGGGTGTTTGAGAAAAATTGTCTTTTCTCTCGGAACTAACGATCGACAGACTCACAGAGACTTGTTGAAGTTCTCAACCGACATGACTGTGTTTTTGGTAATTACCATGATTTAAGCTAACTTGTTACGAAAGATATTATTGTTGAAATCATAGCGGTTCCTGTGTTGGTCCGACAGTTTGGTTCACGTGTATTATTCCTTTATTTCACGATGGAAACTGGAAAGAGAATCCAGCGAAAAAATTGACCTAAAGCTGACAGCATGTTGCCAAAAAATGGACCGGTATTATTGATGAGGAATATGAAACTGTGTGCTAACATAAACATGTTTAGTGTGCAGTTGCACTGATATTGAGTGTTAATTTCACACCAGAGTGCTGTCGTTAACATCACTAAACAGACCCGATTTCAAGAATGAAAACTGGCAGTGTACTTCATCCAATCAGATGGAGGATATCATAGGGTTAAAGGTCACATTGCCTAGCAGAACACTCACGCAATCAACATGGTTTTGCTCAACTGCGATAAATATCAATCCGTATTATCACTGCTAAATCAACAACATCAGCATTTAGAAAAATGCCTTTTTTATTTGTTTCTGCACATCAACGAATTTTATTATATGTTAAGAAATTGGTTTTGTCCAATTTGTTTACTGAACTTTGTGAAAAGATCCTGAAGTAGCTTAGCCCTTTGTCAAATGTGGTGACGGGTCGCAAATTTGGAGTTGCACAACTTTTTCAACGACCGTTTGGTATATTTTCCTCAAACATGGTCGCTAAAATGTATCAAATGTGGTCGTTTAATGTAATTTGGGGCTGGTATTTGGTGGTCGCTGGTTTCGTTAAAAAGATGGTCGCTTAATATACTTAAATTACATAGTAAATTACATAGTAAAAGCGGTCGGAAGGAATGAAAAGTGGTCGCATAAAACAGATGGTCGTTTAATACAGATGGTCACTTGAGCAGATTCAACTGTATGTCAAATAGACCTGTTTTCAAAACCCTCGAGTTTAAGCTCATAAACATACTCTCAGGAGACTACTGAAACTCCTGTCTTTCACCTGTTTGGGCCTTCCTAAAAAATAGTTTGTTTGCAGTTAATTCACATAATTTCCAGTGTGTAGTTGGTAGATAAGGATTTTTTGTTTCTATTTTTAGAAATCTCTTATTTCTATGTAAAAAACATAAGTTTCAGTTATTTTTCATGAAAAAACGATTTACCAAAAGTTTCAAAACAGAAGTTTGAGTTGGTGCGATTTTTAATGAGCAGGTTGGGAAACATCAAACAAGCAATTTTTTTGAAGGATGACCTTGCTTTTCACAATCAGTATGTCAATATAATCAGTAGTAAGGTGAAACTTTGATAATAATTATTGAAATATAGAAGTGAGTTGGCACAATTGCGAAAATACTATTTCTGTATTCAAATAAGCGATATTTCTAAAATGTTTTTAAACCTGTCTATTTTCTGTGTAGGACAAAGATGGTGATCGTGCGGTGCACCATGCTGCTTTTGGAGATGAGCCTAGCGTGATAGAACAGCTACAGAGAGGAGGTGCTGACCTCAATGCCAGAAATAAACGTCGCCAGACACCCCTACACATTGGTGTAAACAAAGGTCACATCGGTGTGGTGAAGACTCTGCTGGACCTTGGCTGTCACCCCAGTCTCCAGGTTTGGATGTGTGACACACTGTTCCCTCTGTTGTCTGTACTTGTGTGTCATACACTGGTGTTGGAACGTCTCACTGGTATCACATTCCATAGTTATTGCACGTGTTTGATACCAAAGTTTTACCTTTATTTTCCATCTTGTGTGTATATCTGTCCATTCATCAGTCAGTCCATCCACTGTATCCTTCACCTTGCTCCTTCAATTACTAAACATGTATCATGGTCTACCTGGATATTGTTGTACTGAAGTCATCATGTTGACTTTTAACAAAAAATATCGAACAGAACATTAAATGGCAAAAAAAACAGGCCACAGATACCAAAGGAAATATTTTCATTGCTTTATAGAAAAATGTGAAGAAAAAAAACAAAAACGTGTCATTTTGAGCTGGGCAGCAATCACCAATTTTTACAGCATGGGATACATAAAGCACATTTTTATTAGAATACATATAGCTGAGACTAGCATATACATACCCCAGTAGTATGGAATTCCCTTATCTTAAAATCACCTAAACAAAATATCATATTGTGCACTTTTTCAACTTCACTCCCTCCTTTTCTATGCAGGGACTGATTGATCCAATAATCAAACCCCATTTCATGACAGGTATACCTAGACTTCATTTCTGCAGAAAAAGAGAAGCCTAACCATTACAGCCTGCTGAAGCATTAAAAGTGGCTCCCGTCTTTTGTCAACTGTTAAATTCATCCTCCCTGCATAGTAATAAATACCACATGTGGATTCAACCTCTTCCTGAGGGGCTTATACAAAATATGAGGAATATTTTCGATCTTAATATAGCTTCTTCATACCAAGTCCTTTGTTATTCTTGTGATCAGTTTGTGTTAGAATGATACAGTAGTTGTACAATGTGTTTGTGTAGAGGATAGTTCTTGTTAGATATATTGTAATGTAATATTGTTGTACCTTGTTCCTGTCATATGTTGTTATGTATCCAATGTATAAATTTTGAGGTAATTTGTTGGTGGTCATGTCAATTTGAATTAAATTTCAAGGAATAATTTTAATTTGCAAATGTTTGCCACAGCGTTTATAAAAAAAAGAAGACTGTTAAAACAAATTAAAAGCTTGATAAATTATTGAAAATATATACCAATAAGATATTGATTTATATATAAGCTGTTTTTCATTTCATATTAAGGCATTTTAATTTTGATTAGGATTGTATGTCCTGCTTATATTAACGACCAAGAAAAAAAGAGAATTATCTCCCTTGTATTGTGAAAATGAGAAAAAAAACATTTATCATCTTTGTTGTGTTGGAATTACTTCTGATGTGATATTTCTAGCATAAGGTTATGTTTTAAAAAGATCCTTTGATGAGATGAAATGTGTTTGTTTGGCCGTCAGGACTCTGAAGGAGACAGTCCACTCCACGATGCCATCAGTAAGAAGCGAGATGACATGATATCTATCCTGCTGGAACACCATGCAGATCTGACCATAGCCAATAACAATGGCTTCAATTCTCTACATCATGCTGCACTGCGGGGCAACCCAAGGTAGGTACTGCATGTGAGACAAACTTATATATATCGCAACCCTTTACCTGTTATCCTGTCCTGATATGTAACGACAATATCATTTATATGCTCTGAACATCATAAAGAACATATGTTATGTCAACATACGTATAAACCCTAGACTAAATCTATATAATGAAAATGATGACGAAAAGGACACCAATAACTAGACTCAGAATGACCTAGATGAAAACTTTAAACAAGTGAATGAATTCACACACATTATAAAGGATCGCTACAGGTCCAATTTTTAAAGCAGAAGGGAAAAAAATCACAAAGTTTGAAGGAAATATCAGTTTATCACAACTAAAAAAAAATTATTAGAAAAGACATTTCAGGTGCATTGTCTTCATTGACAGTGTCTTGAATGTGTATGATTGCTTAAATTTATAATTAAAACTTATATATAGACTTTAAATCGTCATTCAAATGACAATACAGTATATTGATAGTGAAACATAGGAAATGCTACCACAAAATTGAGATTTCACACCAACAACAGTACACTTGTCGTTAGAGCAAACGAAATGCATTAGATATGATACAGATATCAATAAAAACATCAACATCAACATCACACAGAAATGGCAGGAAATAAAGTGTTCCCATTTGAAATATACATTTCCTTATATTAAATCCATATATAAATGAAGAGTAAAAACTCCTGAAGTTTGGATTTCATAAAGTATATATTCTTTTTGGCCTATTATGCTGGTAGATTTAAGCCTGTTAGGCAGGTCATTGTAAGGACGTGTGTCTCTTTGACTATTACATGATAAAGTTGAGTGACAATGATGGTCAAGTCAGTTGGAAAAATATGCCATTGACAATAAGTACCTAAGGAGCAAAGATCAAGCCCTATTATGATGGGTCTAAAATACAATAATGATTTATTAAGAATACTCGGTAGATAGAAAAGTTCAATAAATGTCCATGAAAAAAATGTAAAGATATGCATAATATGTTACATAATAGTACAGTTTTTGAAGTTGATTAACTTTCTTTTTAAGGTGAAAAGTATTAAAATTAAATGATTCCATGCAGGCTAGCTAAGCTATGGTACAAGTTAAAGTGAAAAGTGTGTCTGAAAATGTGATAAGTGTAATGAATATGATATCCGTATGATAAGGTGGAGAATCGATGAAAAACAACAATAGAAAAGGTTGTGAGGTTCCAAATTGTTCAGTAAGCATAAGCCACAAAGAATGAAAAAGATCCACGCATCAGAAGAGTTCTGTATTTTGAATGCCCATATGAAGTACTGCCGAGGATGGTCAGGAACATGTTACAACATACTCTGTTTACATCAAGGATGATGTTGTATTTTGAAGGTTGTTGAGTTCAGTCTAGTACATATATATAGATCACTGGTCTGTGAGGTAGACACTTGTTATGGTTCCTCTTCTGATCTTCTATTCACGTTTTAAATGTGTGGTGGCCTGTTTCTAGCAATCTGACTAAATGTCTAATGGAGGACTGTTTTTGGTTTGTGATAAAAGTTGTAAATATGGCTTACACACTGGTGGTGATTATGGCAGCGTCAGTGTTTAACATTTAAACATTTTTTTCTCTCAAAAACAAAAAACTGTATAAAAATCAAAACTGGAATATATTGACCCCTTAACAGGGACATAACAGCCCATATCAGATTTTTCAGCATCTATATTTCATAAGAATTTGAAAAATGATGGACGATATTAATATCAAAATGATGTTTCTTGGAAGCTTTGTGCTACATCATTGAGGACTTGTATTTCTTTACTCTACCAGCTGAACATGAGTGGTGTTAATGTGTTCAGTGAATTAAGAAAAAGAAATGTTCAGGTGCAACAGGAGAAACGTAGAAATTTGTGGAAATGAATGTGAATCTTGTAAAAGATAGCACCCAAACCTTGTAGAGGTTTATATGGTATTCAATACATACTCCAGAGCTCATTTTTAATTTTGATGATTATACAATGTGTTAATAAAGTTTTTAATTTAAGTTATTTGAATATTTATAAACCTTAGAACATACCTATGGGACTTAATTATACTTACTGGTATATACTATATATGAGATATACTGCAGTCAAAATGATAATGACATTGTTGGCAAACTAAGTGTGGAATATACCCCATTTTGATATAACAGCAATGCTACACTACAACAGTTAGCTTGACACTAAAACATCAAATTACAAATGATACAGAACTGAAGTTATATCTAGCAATAAACTGATAACACAATATTATCCGCCAAGGGTCAAACTACTCTCACATACAAGGGGTCAGTATAATTGTACTACCATACAAAAAGATGAATGTAAAAATGATTCAGACTCCTCCATTCAAGGGTCAGTTAGATAAGAAACATTAAATAACTAAAAATCATTAAATAAATTGCATGTGATGATTATGGGAAACTGACTATAGGCAGTTATAAACATTAATGTAAAACAAGAAAAATTTGGTGTAGGTAAAATTATATTTGAAAATCTGCATCTGAAATTATAAAAATAGTGATCAGAGTTAATAATAGAAACCCTGCATCCCATATTTCTTTAAAAAACAACAACAACAGAATATGTTTTAAAATTGAAAATAATCAGCTGCCCACTTGTTTCTTTTGAGTATTGTGAAAGTTTGTAATGCATGCTTGTTTAGTGCTGACCTACAGTTCTATGTGGAGCTGTACGTATTAGGTTAGTACTGACCTACAGTTCTATGTGGAGCTGTACGTATTAGGTTAGTACTGACCTACAGTTCTATGTGGAGCTGTACGTATTAGGTTAGTACTGACCTACAGTTCTATGTGGAGCTGTACGTATTAGGTTAGTACTGACCTACAGTTCTATGTGGAGCTGTACGTATTAGGTTAGTACTGACCTACAGTTCTATGTGGAGCTGTACGTATTAGGTTAGTACTGACCTACAGTTCTATGTGGAGCTGTACGTATTAGGTTAGTACTGACCTACAGTTCTATGTGGAGCTGTACGTATTAGGTTAGTACTGACCTACAGTTCTATGTGGAGCTGTACGTATTAGGTTAGTACTGACCTACAGTTCTATGTGGAGCTGTACGTATTAGGTTAGTACTGACCTACAGTTCTATGTGGAGCTGTACGTATTAGGTTAGTACTGACCTACAGTTCTATGTGGAGCTGTACGTATTAGGTTAGTACTGACCTACAGTTCTATGTGGAGCTGTACGTATTAGGTTAGTACTGACCTACAGTTCTATGTGGAGCTGTACGTATTAGGTTAGTACTGACCTACAGTTCTATGTGGAGCTGTACGTATTAGGTTAGTACTGACCTACAGTTCTATGTGGAGCTGTACGTATTAGGTTAGTACTGACCTACAGTTCTATGTGGAGCTGTACGTATTAGGTTAGTACTGACCTACAGTTCTATGTGGAGCTGTACGTATTAGGTTAGTACTGACCTACAGTTCTATGTGGAGCTGTACGTATTAGGTTAGTACTGACCTACAGTTCTATGTGGAGCTGTACGTATTAGGTTAGTACTGACCTACAGTTCTATGTGGAGCTGTACGTATTAGGTTAGTACTGACCTACAGTTCTATGTGGAGCTGTACGTATTAGGTTAGTACTGACCTACAGTTCTATGTGGAGCTGTACGTATTAGGTTAGTACTGACCTACAGTTCTATGTGGAGCTGTACGTATTAGGTTAGTACTGACCTACAGTTCTATGTGGAGCTGTACGTATTAGGTTAGTACTGACCTACAGTTCTATGTGGAGCTGTACGTATTAGGTTAGTACTGACCTACAGTTCTATGTGGAGCTGTACGTATTAGGTTAGTACTGACCTACAGTTCTATGTGGAGCTGTACGTATTAGGTTAGTACTGACCTACAGTTCTATGTGGAGCTGTACGTATTAGGTTAGTACTGACCTACAGTTCTATGTGGAGCTGTACGTATTAGGTTAGTACTGACCTACAGTTCTATGTGGAGCTGTACGTATTAGGTTAGTACTGACCTACAGTTCTATGTGGAGCTGTACGTATTAGGTTAGTACTGACCTACAGTTCTATGTGGAGCTGTACGTATTAGGTTAGTACTGACCTACAGTTCTATGTGGAGCTGTACGTATTAGGTTAGTACTGACCTACAGTTCTATGTGGAGCTGTACGTATTAGGTTAGTACTGACCTACAGTTCTATGTGGAGCTGTACGTATTAGGTTAGTACTGACCTACAGTTCTATGTGGAGCTGTACGTATTAGGTTAGTACTGACCTACAGTTCTATGTGGAGCTGTACGTATTAGGTTAGTACTGACCTACAGTTCTATGTGGAGCTGTACGTATTAGGTTAGTACTGACCTACAGTTCTATGTGGAGCTGTACGTATTAGGTTAGTACTGACCTACAGTTCTATGTGGAGCTGTACGTATTAGGTTAGTACTGACCTACAGTTCTATGTGGAGCTGTACGTATTAGGTTAGTACTGACCTACAGTTCTATGTGGAGCTGTACGTATTAGGTTAGTACTGACCTACAGTTCTATGTGGAGCTGTACGTATTAGGTTAGTACTGACCTACAGTTCTATGTGGAGCTGTACGTATTAGGTTAGTACTGACCTACAGTTCTATGTGGAGCTGTACGTATTAGGTTAGTACTGACCTACAGTTCTATGTGGAGCTGTACGTATTAGGTTAGTACTGACCTACAGTTCTATGTGGAGCTGTACGTATTAGGTTAGTACTGACCTACAGTTCTATGTGGAGCTGTACGTATTAGGTTAGTACTGACCTACAGTTCTATGTGGAGCTGTACGTATTAGGTTAGTACTGACCTACAGTTCTATGTGGAGCTGTACGTATTAGGTTAGTACTGACCTACAGTTCTATGTGGAGCTGTACGTATTAGGTTAGTACTGACCTACAGTTCTATGTGGAGCTGTACGTATTAGGTTAGTACTGACCTACAGTTCTATGTGGAGCTGTACGTATTAGGTTAGTACTGACCTACAGTTCTATGTGGAGCTGTACGTATTAGGTTAGTACTGACCTACAGTTCTATGTGGAGCTGTACGTATTAGGTTAGTATCATGTCATACCCCAGATATACTAATGGAAGCAGGAACAATCCATAGAGCTGCAACATGATAAAATTCCTTTATGAATAACGTCTACTGAACAAATACTCCTGAAGAAGTCCATAGCAAATAAGTGCATGGTTGTGTAATGGAATTCATTTGAATTATGTAAATATCTTAACTTGAGTAGATCACACAGTATTGTTTGTGAATACTGTCGTTACTTTTACATAATATCTTACTTGGCTGTGTTTAAATATTATTTTGAATTGCCATGCCCCCTTTGATCATGGTTTGTGACTCTTTATGACTTTAGGTATTTGGTCTGATGATTTTTGTTTGTGGTCATCTAATTATCTCCCCTTTGGCCAGCAAATTTCATTTGTTAAACATGGCATACAAGGATCACCAGAAATATTTCATATCTTTTTTAAACTAAAGTAAACTAAATAAACTGCTTTGGATCACCTTCCAAAATTATTAAGATTCAATTTCTATTTCATTTGGTAAAGAGAATGACATAGTAAAGATGTACATGTATGATAAAATACATACAAAAGCAATAAAATTGACATCTAAAGTTGGAGATCACTGGATGGTATTTCAAATTTCTTGTCTATCAATAAATCATATCCTCATTTTATCATAGTTGATTTACCTATCACTAGCCTGTTTAAGTATTAGGTGATAGATTATGATCCTGCACTAAAAGGTTCTCAAGTATCTATCAACAGAGAGCAACAGAAAAATAGTTATGACCAGAATAGGCTTACAAGGTTTTATCACTAGGGTCATTGAGATGGTGAAAGCAGCCCTAGTACTTTGTTTTCTCTCAAATATGTTTTAGTTCTCTGGTAAATGTTTTCATTTTGTGTTGTAAGGGTACCCAACTGTGCATGTTATCACATTCCATCATTAAAGGTTGAATATATTTGTCTGTATTGACTTCGGTTTTGTTATTACCAGTCTCCTTCATTCTCCTGTGTAGGAAAAAAATCATCTTTTTGTTTTCCTGTGCATCTCCCTTTCATTCTCATTAGTTTTTGTCTTTCTGTTATATTGTCTGTCCATCTTGTCTGTTTCCTGTCATCTTTTTCTGCAATCCTATCTATCCGTGCATTGTTAACCCAATATTTCTGTAATCGTGAGAACAGTCTCCGGTGTATATCTGATTCTGATTGATTGTCAGTGGTGAATGTCTGCCCAGACCTGTGCCATAGATACTAGTGAAAGTACGGCCCACATACCTGGCATAGGATTTTGGCATCCTTCTTGTAGCAACATAACATCACCGGGGATATAAATAGATGGGTAGCAGCAGACGAATCTACGTAGTTCTGTGTTTTACGTATTACAGCTTACATAATACAAATCAATGGACAACAACAGACGAATCTATGTAGTTCAATTTTTACCCTCATCACATGTTGAAATCACCCTTAATGCGATATTTCTTGAATTTCATATGTAGGTTGCCTTGGTCCTTAGTTGTGCATGTTTATTCTTTAGACCGATTGGAAGAACAAAATGGCTACCAGGTGACAATCTTTGATTTTGATAGTTTAAGTTTGTTATGGCTATTTTTCAAGAAGCCATTTTACAGATCTTTCCCAAGTTTTTCATATAGATTACCCCTGGTCCTCAGTTGTACATGTGCTATTTTCTGATTAATCTGAAAAATAGGATGGTCACCAGACAGCCATCTTGGATATTTTGACAGTTAAAGTTAGCTTCTCAGGAAGTACTGAACAGATCTTTCTGCAAATTTCATATAAAGGTAGCCTTGTTCCTTCATTGTGCGAGGTTTTATTTTCTAGACTGATCTGTCATCAGAATAACAAGATGGCTGCCACAAGACCATCTTTGAATATGACTGTTAAAGTTTGTTATCATCATTTCTCAGAAAGTACTGGAGGGATCTTTTGTAGTGTCTGTCTAGGGTCCTTTCAACTTGTCTCTGAGTTACTGTTAACCCATTGCCCATGAAATCAATGTCCGCCCAGTGTTAATTCACCCTTCTCATTTTAATAACTTATTTTATTATGCTGTTTATTAATATTCACTGTTATGATAAATTCACTCTCATTATGAAGGGTGAAAAAGACGAAAATTAAACTGCAGTGAAAATTTCCCTGTATACAGTATGCATATTTCATTTACAGCTTTATTGGGAAAAGCTGGCCACCAGGGAGACCTCTAACTGGCAATACCTGTAGTATGATATACCATTTTGTAATTAGGTAGAACAGGTGATTAAGTTATCAGTGTTAAGTAACATTGTATCATGTTTAGCTCATCGTCTTATTTGATAGATAATAATAATGAAGGTTACATTTTCTGATAAAAAATATGTTATTTATAAAAGATAGGTTACTGAAAAGTAATTGATGAATGAAATGTCTATATACCACTGTTAGTTCAGTCCTATTTCAAACCTGATCAATTTGATTAAAGTTAATTAGCTTTTCTCTACATTAAACATAAAACCATAAAGGAAAATAAATAGCAAATTACTACAAACATCTGTATTTTATCTGTGATCTCATTTTAGTGATAATCTTATTTTTGTGGTAAACTCATTTTAACACTTTTCATGTGGACTCTGAAGGGCTAATATAAGTAAAGCAGTAAAATGTATATGACATTTAGCAAAAAGGATGTAAACACATTCATAGACAGTTCGTAAACCAGGATATATATAGATCTTATGTAAGCCTTGTTGATCTAACTTTTGATAGGAAATATGCCATGTGCAGTATGATGCAAAGTAAATTTGTAGTGCACTTTCATTAGTATGTTTATTTTAAATCATTTCTTTTCTGATTTTATAAAAGAAAAATTACTTAATGAATTAAAAAAGCAGTTTTGGTAAATACTTGTACTGGTTGATGTCACTAAGCTACCTGAAGCCTCCTGCTGTTTACAGTTGCACAGCAGATATTTATATATAACTGAAGACAAAATAAAATAATGGTCTGTCTATAGGATAGAACTACCCTGTCATAAATATGTATCCATTTCGGTAAAAATGCATTGTAAAAAGATTCATGTAGCAAAACCAATACATGTTGATACATGATTAAAAATATGTTAAACGATAGTCAAGTTTAAATATATATATATATATCTGTTTAAGAGTATAAATAATTTGTGCACTTAATTACAGGAAGGCAAGGTTTTGCATTCAAAGAGATTAACGTAAGAAACCTACATGTAATTGCATTTATAATTTTTTTTTGATAATTAAAGTTATGAAAAGATTCTTGTAACACAACTAGTGTTGGGAATCGGTTGTTATTTTATAATCGATGATCGGCTATAATCGGTTAAAGTATTTCGATCAATTTTCGATTATAATCGGTTAGCAAGGTTACCCAAATTATATGGGTGTTGCAATGTAAAATCAAGGGTTGACTTAGTATGTCCACCTGATACTAAACGCCATTTTTTATACACTTTTAACTTTAGCCTTTAACTTGGCCGAAAAACTTATTTGTAGGGCTTTACCTCATAACAAAGCATAAGTAGTGTTATAATTAGGTGGATGCTAAACACATATCAATAGAAAAGAACATGCAATAATTTCAACCGATTATAATCAATTATGGAATTCCATAATCGATTAATCGGAATCGGTTGTGTAACCGATTAGTTTTCGATTATAATGGATCATCGGGACAACACTAAACACAACCAATACGTGTTTATATGTGTCGTCTCGATGACTAGTATGGTATGTACTCTGTCACCTTCATCAGACAAATGACCAGTGAAGCATATCTAAATAAAGGTGTACAAGTTGTCCATTTGACGACTAGTATGAGTTGTTCACATAAACCAATGTCGATTTGGCTATGCTGTATGTAGCATACACAAGGTGCAGTTTTCATACATTCCCTATCCATTAAAAGTACATTCTAACTGGGGTTGACATAAGAATTGTATCACGCCATGTTAGTCATGATACAGGGATTCTCTCCTCAGCAGCTGGATCAGATGATGTCGTTCCTACCTCATGTAAGGATTCTGTAATACTCTACAGGGACCCATCCCTGTCACTGCACCCCACCCTGTGGCAGCAGTTACGTAATCTAGGTACAGATAACATAGACTGATATCATATTCTTACACTGAAGATGACCTAACCAATGTTTTTCAGGGTCAAAATTCATGATCAACAAAAGATATAGCTTAAATATGAAGACTTTTGTAGGAGATGGGTGTTGTCTTCAAGAATATGATATGTTTTTGGAAAAAAACGACACGTTTCAGTTTTATTATCATCAATTAGTGTTTAGTTGATAAGACTTTTTATCTTTTTTTCTTAAAATCAAATTACTCTGTCTATAGTACTTAACTGTATCAAGAAGCATAATGTATATCTGATACCTTACTGTTTGTATGAAGAAAAGATTGAATGTTGAAAGAAAAACATATAAAATAATTATAGTATTTTCCGCCTCGTAATGACCACACTGTATCCATCTTGTCCTGTAGATTTGGAAATAAATGTCTTCCTTTTGCACAACTTCTCTCTGCATTTGCTTAACTTCCAGCAGCATATCTCATTTGTACTACATATTCCATTTGCCTAACTCAGGATCAGTGTTACAAATCCATTTGCCTAACTCTGGTACCCGAGTTACTCCTGCGGTACTTAATGGTACAAATCCACAAAGGTAAAATAACACTTAACAAATACATAACTCCAACCATCTACAGAATTTTCTTGTATTTATGATTTTAATATCCCAACTTTTTATGTCCGATTGTCTTCTTGAACATATACTTCTTCCTTGAAAATTGGTCCTCTCTGCAATAGAGATGAAAGCTTAACATCATTTTCATGCTTCATATATATATATAAAGGATTGCAATATGTTATTAAATTTCTGTTTAAAATTGGTCACAAGAAATGGAGGCATGTTTATTATTAAAGATATTCAGTGTCAAATTATATCAGAAATCTTGCTTCAATATTGCAATATATCATAAGCTAGTTATCTGATAACATTACCTAGTCTTTTGTTCTCGTGTAACTCTCTTGGGTCAGTTGTGCACCGGATGTGTCGTGGTACTCTATGTATTCATATTCTTTTGTAATTGTTTGGTCTCATGATCGTGTTACAGCACAATTACAAAGATGCTATGGAGAATTGAAAGCTTAATCTAGCTGAACGTTGTGGACAAGATAAAAATTATTCTTCCAAAATTGCCACTATTTATCAACTTTCTATATAGATGTAGCAGTTTGACAATTTACACTTAAACTACGGGATCCTCCATTATCAACATTCATTTGTAAAGTAGTGCCAAGATAGATGCTAAAAACTTACTAGTGGTTAGCTGTATGATCATTTTGAATTAATTTAAGTGAAGTGGTACGAAAATATTTGAAGAATCATAAATTTTAATTTTGTTATAGGCCTGTTACATGAACAGGTGTAATTTTTTCAAACTAATCACTTCAGACAAACTCCCACACAACCTGACTCAACATATGTAAAACCACAATGTCGCCCACACATGAAAAATTTGTAATAGAAATGTTTCACAACCTTTGAATGCAGTTTTGATAGTGTTAGAAAAACACGATAAACAACTGTCACTCATTGTGGAACCCCCTTTTAACAACAGCAGCTACAGCTGGACCTCAACACAAACTTGAATATCTGGGTCATGGTACTGTTCCAACAACTTTTGATATTAAACGATGTAACCTAACTGGGAAATTAGTAGTTGTTACCTCTGTAGAAAACAAAATAACAAAAGTCAGGAGTTTGTTGGTATTGTAGTAAAAAAAAAAACATATCGTCTTTTGTAACTATGTAAACCAACCAGATTTAATCAAATTAATTAAATTTTAGGGGGACATATGGAAATTTGTTATTGTCTTTTCATGTTAGTGAGCTTCTCTGACCATTATTGTGATATTTAGCATCTTGTTATTTTTTGTTAGCCCCAGATTCATGAAATATTTTGTTAAAAGTAGGTTGTGGGTTGCTTTTAAAGTTTGACAAGAGTCAGCCATGTATGATCAGGTCTGCTCGTGTCCATTGTTATAGGCCAAAACTGTGTGGGCAAAAAATAGGTACTTATCTGTGACTGTCTAGTTATCCCGAAATCTTTGTGAGAACACTGAAATTACAGAATATCTTAACCAAAATGCTAAACTTCATCTTAACCCTTAAACTGTCCTATAGACCATGTCTTAACCTCAATATTGGCCTAAGAACTGTGTCGCAACCCTGATTATGTCTTTTAGTTAATTTCTTAAACTTAACCCTTATTCTGTCCTGTAGATCTTGTCTTAATTCTGTCATATATACCTTGCTGACATTCTGACATCTTGAAGGCTTTTATGATGTAAGATTACATCAGATTATGGAAGGTCAGCCCAGTCAAGAAAGTCTGTTCCATGTGTGCTATATATTATAGCTCCTTTTTAGGGCCCCTGATGCCAGGCTCCCTTTTTAACCAGTTATAAGGCTGTTTTTAAGCCATTACTAGGGCCCAAGTGTTCTGTTGGTAATTAAGACCATGTGTTACCAACACTTAGGTCATTCTCTGGCTTTTTAGGCGGGAAACTTGTCACCACTGCTGGCCTGTAATACAATATCTAAACCAAGGCTTCCATCATCTTTATACGAAATTTCTTACTGAAAATTGACTTACCCTTAGGATATGGTTTCTTTTATCATACTTCTATTGTTGAACATATAATTAAGTGTTCAGGTTAAAGATAAAATGCATGTGCTGAAATATGAAATTGTCGTGTCTCCCTCAAGCCATGTCCATATTCCAACCTTTTACACATTCCAGCACTGTGTCTCCTACTACAAGCTAGTTTCGTGTCCACCCAGAGTTGTACACCCATACCCAGAGTTGTACACCCATACCCAGAGTTGTACACTCATACCCAGAGTTGTACCCAGTAAATCATCAGTTGTTATCATTACATCAACACCCACCAGTGTCCTGTAGTTCCTATCTCTAATTCATCCAGAACTTACACCTACCCTATCTATAGCCACCCCATTATCTACCCTATCTATAGCCACCCCATTATCTACCCTATCTATAGCCACCCCATTATCTACCCTATCTATAGTCACCCCATTATCTACCCTATCTATAGCTACCCATTATCTACCCTATCTATAGCCACCCCATTATCTACCCTATCTATAGTCACCCCATTATCTACCCTATCTATAGCTACCCATTATCTACCCTATCTATAGCCACCCCATTATTTACCCTATCTATAGCCACCCTATTATTTACCCTATCTATAGCCACCCCATTATCTTCCCTATCTATAGCCACCCCATTATCTACCCTATCTATAGCCACCCTATTATTTACCCCATCTATAGCCACCCCATTATTTACCCTATCTATAGCCACCCTATTATCTACCCTATCTATAGCCACCCCATTATCTACCCTATCTATAGCCACCCTTTTATCCTTGTTTCTCAATTATATGTACCTCTGAAAGCATTATCTCTTGTCACCTTGAAATAATTTGTCAATGCATACATCAGCCCTCCTCTATGTATACAACATATCGCTGGGTGCTTCCCATTCATAATCTCGAATTTCATAATCTCCAATTCATTTTCGTACTCCATGCGGAGACACTTACCCCACAGGAACATAACTCAAGTGCATGATATTGTATTCTAACATCTCATATGAATTATCAGATGCAGACATTATACAGTTGCAGTTTTCTTTTTACGAAAAAATTAATAGTAATTTGAAGACTTCTAATTAGTACATACATGGCTCTGCACTGCAATATTCAGCAGTGAAGATAAAAATCCATCTTACCATTTCATCAAGTAAACTTTTCAAAATGGCGGCATTGACAAGCTAGTGTTTGACACACTGACTTTACCACAGATTTAACATAGAGGGCCCATTAAAGGCTATGTTCTAAAGAGAGTGTAATCTGAAGCCATTTTCATGAGCTGCTGTTCCCTACATGTGCTAGCTGGTAATCAGATCTTGCCAGTCACCTGGCATTGAGCTCTCCACTACATTCCTCTGAGCCTCCAGACCCAAATCTACATCCATAAACTCCTTCTTACACATATTTGTACAAAGTCAATATGGCACGTGTGATGTCAGGAATTTTATTGGTATCATCAGTTTTATGAAAGGTCAGATCATATACGATATTACTTACTACTTTTGCTTTGATTTGATCATAAAATGGCATATTTTTATATAAAAATGTCTGGTTATATGGAAAGTAGGATATCCACTGCACTTATAGAACTGAAATTAATATACTGATGATGATGTATTCTTTGCTTGGTTACATGTAATCTTCAGTGTATCTGCTCCAATTACACATGCGAGGAAGTTGGTTAATGTGATGGTAGATCACATGATTAATTGGATTCCAGTCCAAAGGCATTCATTTCTACGACTAATTTGTTCAGTACAAAGAAGCCTAATCTGTATATAGTGAAAGTAACAGCAGGCATGTACTAAGATAGATATATCAAATACTAAGTCTGCCATTTTGAATTGTAATGTCAAGGACAGATCATGCGTTTAGTAAAATATACAGTGCACAAACTACAGTAGCAGCCATTACTATACATAACGGTACACATTTGTATTATATTCAAAATGGCCGATATGCCTTGGAGCTACTGCAATGTAGCTCATTTCCGAGGGAAAGTTGCACACAATACAAGATACATTGATAGGGGTAGGATGGATTTCGGATCATGCTCAGTGAGGGTGCATTAGGTCAAACTGTCTCAGGTTATTGACTATTGATCCCTATAAACAGAGTATATGAGGTGATATAGCAGATGCAAGTGTAAGCTATGCCAGCAGCGCCCTCTGGTGTGAAGAATGCCACTCACAGCTGGTTGAAGGGGACCAAATGCTTGTGTTTCTGTACTTATTTGGCCCGGTTTCAACCAACTACAAAATAGCAGACACATAAATGTGTTCTGGCTTACAATACTCTCGAGCTGGCTGGGAAACAAAATTGGAAGGGGGGGTAATGATGTCAAAACAGGAAATGAAACCAGGAAAGAAATTATAACATCTATATATTCAAAACCAAATTGCATAGCAATCAGTCAAATTTTAAATTAAAAAAAATGTAAAAAAAAAATAATACAAAAAACAACAGGGTTGCAAACAAAACCCTTTCAACCAGCAATATGAGTAGTAAAACAGCAAACATTCACACCAACTTCAAACGGCATAGTATCAGTATAGTAATGCAGTATTACTGTAGCGCTGCTAACAAATATACAACACTATGGCATATAATGGTACAATTACTAGCTCTTAATGTGCGTTGGGTTATGGATATGGGAAACAGATGTATGTCTATAACATTATACAGTTAGTTTTACACAGAAATGCTTTCTACATACAAACATTAAGATTTACTACCTAAGGACAATTGTAGAGTAACATAGAAACGCTTTTTTGGATATATATTTTGTGTTAGATCTGCAGCATGCACTAGTTTTACAATAGGAAAGTTCAGCGTCAGGTATAGATCTAGTCCTTTCTGTTTTGAAGCAATACCCTAATATATCCCACTGACAATCGCAATATAATAGTTCAAGTATTTTATCAAACTCTTCCTATAATGATGTTGCATTATTGATCATAGAGTCTCGCATTTAGTTTAGAATGTTAAAAATATTATTTCAGTGAAAATCTTTGTAAGTACTAAATGCCACTATTGTCAATAGTGCCATTTTAAATGGTAATTCATTTGATGAATGTGACAGCCCTAATTATAGCAATGATGTAAGGGGGTCTGATAAGATCTGAGGGTAAGGAGGGGGGAGACTAGTGACATGGCCGAAGCATTAGGTATCACAGTGTGACAAGCAGGACTGCCAGGGTTACATGCACCAGTTAACTTAACAGATTCCGTCTGATTGGTCATACTGACAGTAATCTAATAAAGTTTTCTAGTGTCCTGGCAGTGAAAAGCAGGTCAGGGTAAACACAGTAAAGTTTGAAGCTACTCGCAGTTCAAATCAATGTAAATCACACCACACACAGTTTAAAATGTCCCAAAGGAACATTTGGTTAGTACATGTTCATTTCATTGTAAAGCAAAGTGTTACAACAGCAAGAGGAAACATTCCCTGTAAAATAAAGACAATAAGTAGGATTAAGTACTAGTTGACTAAGACGCTCACTATAAAGCACACATCTAGTTGTAAAAGACTTACATCCTGTGCATTAAGTGACATCCATCCTTATGACCATTACTTCCTAAAGACTAAACAAACTAGGACCAGCCTAGTACTGTAGTGGTAAGCCTGTTCTCCAGGCGACTGTGACTTCCCCCAGTGACCATCAGGTACTAATCTGCAGAGACAATGCCCTACCTGTGTACATTATAAACACATACACACGTACATCGTTACTACGCCGGTGTGTGCATTACAGTTAGCCATCTACCTCACCCACAATATGCATATAGATATTTGGCAAAGAGATTGGTGTAGCCTTGTTAAGCACGCAGGACCTTGCAATATATAGAACAGCTCATTGGCTTCCCCCACTAGACGGCCAGGGATACATGCCTAAAGATGTACACCGCCCTAGTCTAGTCACATCCCGGCTCCGTCATACTGCGGGCATGCTCCAGTGGGGCTCTTGTTGCGAGAAATTGGCGATGTTGGAAGGAATTTGATGAATCTACGCGCAGACCCCCTGCAAAGTGCTTGGGTTGTGGGATACTTCTTACTGATAGAGTTATCTGATGTGTACCTGCAGGAAAACTTTACCCAGAGCACATTGTGTACACCTATATTGAATACACTTATGTGATGCAATAAACAGAAAATTTAAAACTTTAAAAAGTTCAAGCTCTACCTTGAAAATGAATCTATCAAAAAACGAATCCAAAGTTCATAAGATATATATATTTATCTGGCTCTTTTCACTGAGCTCATTTTGAAAAATACATATTTCGAAGTGAAAGTAGCATAAAATTTGACATTGACCTAGAAATTAAATGAAAGCCGTATGAAGGTGTGAGTTCACCAAAGCAAATGTCCTACATAGGTGTGAGTGAAATGTTGTAAAAGTAGGTCACCGAGAGTGAGTCCAGAATGCCACTACTATAATGCTGTGTATAGTAAATAATATACCTGACCCTCCTGTATATAAACTCTTCCTCCTCTTCCATTATCGGCTGCCAATAATTTCCACCAACACAATGAAAGGTAGACCAACCATACAACAAGCTCTATAGATAGTGATATACTGGCATTTGGAAAGTGTGTAAGAAAGAGGTAGGATGTATTTATAAGAAAGCTGTGTATATAGGATATAACAAGTATAGCATTAACTTGGCTTTGATCAAGTTACATTTGGGTTGAGCTGACTTGGGTTGAAGTTAGTTGAGTAAGTTTGGTTATGCTGGGGCCCCTAAGTTACATATATGGCTGCCAGGGTTAGGGTGAGGTTCCAACTGTCTATCTTGGACCCCGCTCTGCATATAAGGCCATAGACCGACCTTCCCAGCTCACCAGATCAATTGTGAGAGGTATCTTATCTGTCCCGCCTCCCCAGCTGACTAAACTCAGCTAGTGGCAGATGTGGCTTGTCAGTCGGTAGGGTTTCTGGTAAAGGAGCATTTTAGGGCTCCCTCCCCTGGATTACTATCTCTTGATAGGTATCCTGCCAGGCCCCATATCTAGGGTTCTCCCGAGGAGTTATGTCCCCTTTTTATGAAATTTCATGTAGCTCTATCCCCCTTCCCCCCTTCCCTTCCTGATGTATAATGAATCATTAACACCAAACCCCATACATGTATGTCAAATACAGGACTGCTGTAGGTGTAGGTAGGGTGTGGGTATAGAATACTGAACACCAAAGCCCCACCCCTCTCAATCAAGACAACTGTATATGTGTGTGTGGATAACACTACTTATTACAGTATTACAATTTTTAGATTTTGGTTCATATTGCTGATTTTTTACCTACTCTTTCATCTACAGTTGCCAGATTTTGTATGGGATTATTTATTTGTATATTGGAGTGTCACATACTGAAATTGGATCTGATATCTCTTTATATACAGAGTTGTTGACCTTGTGTTCATTTTTATACAAAGATTGTCTGGCGGCGAGTGGCTTTGGATTGCTCACAGTACAATTTCCTTGTTTACAATATATTCTTAATTATAAATCACAAAGGTTAACCTACTCTCTCATGGTTCTATGTTAAATGTTATGTTTATTGACAAGGAAGTAATCAATTATGACATGTCCATGTTATGTGCTGTTCTGAACTCTCTTTTTCAGTTGCATTGACATTTTTTTTCAAATTCTACATCCATATCATTTTATCATACATGTCACAGCCAATGAGCATATATAGACAATCCTGGAATTAGTCCCTTGCGCATCACATTTGCTGAATAGAAATATGCCACTAGATCATCACAGAATGCCTGTGCCCCTGATGAAGGGGGGCTTTGTGCTTGGCTAATGAGCTACAGCTGGCCATGATGCACTGGCCAGCGGTTCATCATCACATACAGCACTGGCCAGTGTCTGGCCCTACAGCAGCACCTGGCCAATGTACAGGTCTGACCCAATTCTATCTGTCAAGGCTCATTATCACCACTCACCATCGGGTTAGGCATTCTCCCTGGAAATGATGTCAATACTAATTACACTTTTCACATTCATTTTAACAAACAGATCAGCTAGCAACATTGAACTAGTCATATTCTATACATTGTACTGAACCAGATTGATATTGATTTGAAAACAACTATAATAACATGTGTTGTTATCCTGAGGAAATAAGTTATTAGAGACAGCATTAGTACAGTACCTGGTACAGTAGTTGAAAACTTTTCTCTGGGATATATTCATATTGTGTAAATGAAAGAAAAGATATTTTTTTTGAACAGACAAATTACAATGTAGACAGGGATATTACACCTTTTCTAAGTTCTCAAAGTCGGGACATGTCATGTATGGCCGTCTGTTCAGGAGTATTGTTCCCAAAATAGTTTCAGTTATTGGGCCGGACAACTGGTTCCTCACTTCAAATTCCACCCAATGACATAAAACCTTGCATGGAACATCATCACCGTTAGTTGTTCATCATGTCTTGCGACTACTGGTCCAGAGAATTTTCACAGGCGTTACTGTCCCGTTTTTATATCCTTGTATGAACATCTAGTTAGTTTATCAAATGTGGAGGGCACATATATGGACGTGTTGATAGTGTCTTGCTAACAATTTAAAAGAACTTGTGTCAAAATTCAATTTAAATATCGATAAGGGTTAAAATATATATTTTGATTAATGGCCATGGTAAGTTATGCAGAACTTATGAACTTCCTCATTAAAAAGTTGCTATAAATCATTGATTAATAGCAAAATTGTTGGGAAAGTGGTGTATTTCTGCTTATGGATAACCAGGTGGGTAGAAACACAATCCATTAGTCTCTCTTTGAATATAGTTTATATAATGTATGGACCAAGGCATATGTAAGTCTAAGGAACCAAGAGAGTTTTGAATTAGTCGATACTCGAGAAATTTCATGGCTATTTGCCAAGCTAAATTATAAGTAAGATACTGTATGCATATTTTGTTTTGGCATTGCAGATAACACAAGTTTTTGTGTTGACAAATATATTCATGAGTGCATGGAAAGAAAGCATACGTTTGTGTAAGAAACGATGGCTACCGATATCTGCAACATTTGACAAATATGTGTGGTATTATTGTTTATTACAAACCTACCATTGTTCTTTGTATGAGTTCTATATTTCAGGAAACATTAGTTATCCTTATCCTAGATATTTGTTTGATTAACTTAATTCTTAGGTTGAAATAGGATATCATGTTACCATAGCATTAACATAACATTACTACATGTCACACCAATTTTATCAAAACCTTTAATATGTGCCTGATATAATGAGAATGATTTTGATGAAAAACCTCTGAATTCCTATTACCATGGATAATTAATATTAGTTAGGAAAGTTTGTCATTGAAATCTATATTTAAACACTTGAAATAAGTAAAAAGAAGTTGCAAAAAAAGTAATCACATTATGCTTGCTAGATTTTGGTAGCCTGCTGGCATAACAGATATTCCAATGTCAAGAGAAGTGCCCACATATCTAGTTGACTAGAGGGCATGATTTGTATGGCCTCTTGTAACTACTCGAACCAATAAGCAACACTCTTTTGTGTTGCCTTCAAATACCATTGTGTTGTTGTTTACATTGTCATAGGATTCCCATCAGTAATACACAAACAAAAATTGTTTTCATAAAATTTTACAGTATTTTCCTGGAAAGGTTGGAAGCCTATTGATAAATTCATTTCAGCACGATTCATTAACTTATTTAATGGCACTTTAATATCTCGAACCAAAAATATTCAGAACACATTCATGGTGTTTTGGTTTTTATTGGTGTTTTTCACTAGCAAACAACAGATAAGGTCCTGCCAAAAATTAGTTGTGGTTTAAAGGGGCTGGTCGGGGGGAAAAAATACAAAATAAATGGGTCTAAATGTGCTCTCTGGCCTTCCAAAAGTTATACCACGGCAATATGATGGTCGAGTTCTGCTTGCAGTGTCCAGTTTTGACCACTGAAATCTCGGGGAAGCCCCGAGTAAATTTCGTGCAGATCTATTTATATATGTCATGTGGTTGTTTCGAAAGTGAGAAAGGGGAGGATAACAACAATAGCACGCCATCATGTGACATGTCGGACTCAACTAGCGGATAAGACAGCAATACTATACATAAATAATTGTTTTCAAAGGTCATGTATGATGCAAGTGTAGTATTCCTACCCATATGTTGTTGTTATATATAACGGTATTGATACCTCGTGCCTGTCATGACTTTTGCATGCATCTTTTTCTTTCGCCGCGATGTTTACATTTGGCCTTGTTGATGACGCGCGTGCGGTAAAATTACATCACTGATTTGGATCATTTGAGAGTTTTACACAGTCAGGTGACGATTTAGGATTTCTTTAATATAATTATATTTTTTACTCTTAGGGAGTGAATTTCAGCAAAATTTGTATCGGTATATTTCATAAGAAGGTATTTTAAACATGTGTATACCATTTTAGCAAATATGACGGTTTTTTCCCGACCAGCCCCTTTAACCTATGTGATAAAGAACTCCATAGCAGAATGTGGTACAAGGTTCAGTACCATGTGTGCTGTACCCTAGACTGGCGATACCAGTCCTAAAGTTTTGTTTCAGAATTTCTCGGCTGCATTTTACTTCTAGCTTATCTCCGGCTTGTTTCAGAACTAGAATCTGACATTCAAGTGATCAAAGTTGTTAGTTTATTTTCTTTCTAAATAATTCAATATTCTAGAGATGATGGGCCAGTCTAACTATACTGAAAATGTGTATGTTCGCTAGATCAAAAGTGTGTGCAATAAAATGACATTTTCTGGAAGATTTTTCTATGAGATAGAAACAAATATATTCCAGATGTTTTATCTATCACATAACAATGAAATTATGTGAATGTTCTGACAGTCATCAACTTTTTAACAATGCCTTTTTAAAATCTTTGACATCATGTCTATTGTTCTAATTGTGACATCATATAAGAAACACATGTGACCTGAGAAATGAAATGTGGTATTACTCAAGTTACATAATACATAATTAAGACATTGGCATATTATGTACATTACATGGGAGTTTTGGTATAGATTTGTATATGCTTTCTAACCAAGAAGAATGACAGAGGTTGATGAACATGTGTAACTCGGGCTATGAGATCTATGAGAATTTCTCCCAAGCCGTGTTGGTAGGAAGTGGCTAGTATTTCACCAGGGTGACACATGAAAAGAAATAGAATCTTATAATTATATCAACTTGAACTTCTTTTGATTAATTTTGTGTATGTGTGTGTTTTCGATATATTTAAGGTATGTCAAGTCATTAAAAATGTGACGAAACTATGAAAACTATAATTCAACCAAAATAAGTTATATTGATATTAGAAATATATTGAAAAAGAGGAAATTTTCTAGTGTGGAAATGTTTGCATCGTGACGCTGTTAAACTGACCATGTTGTGGAAATGTTCCTTTGGCCTTGGTTCTTAAAGCTATTTATTCTATATACCTCTGATCTATAAATAACTATTTGTGTGTGGATACTTTCGAACCAATTTACTGACAAACTGTTGTTGGACTTTATAAGAATTAGAACAGTTAACATACCAGGGTATAATTATTTGATTGGGGAATT